GATACCCTTCGCCAGTCAGTATAACAGATATATTATTTAATCTACTTTATGTATTTTCCCACAAATTATACGATCTTTTAGTTTAAAACTAATTGTCATTCATAAGTAATGTCAGAGTTTCATCATCATATACAAGTATATCATGACTGTCGGCAAATAAGCTATCAATGTAATTTTCTCTTCTGTGTACTGTGCTTCTCTTAAAATGGTTCCTAATTATAGAATAATAAACACAAAGTGAATAAATAAATCTCAGAAAATATCAGCAATTTTATAGAAATATTTTTTTAAATGATTTCTAAGAAGAGGAATGTTTCCGTATTGGAATACAAGTAGGGAACAGCATTTGGAAATGTCTTATAAATTATTTGCTGTGATTTTTTTATCAGTGCAAATCATAATTTTCACGCATTTTTGTTTTGAGTGCAGTGCCATCCTACAAACATATGTACACAAATTTGTGGCCCGAAATGCCTGCCGTGAGATGTTTTAGCTAAAAATGTTTGTTGCTTTTGTTGTTGATGTTGCTGTAGTTGCCGTTACCAACAGCTCGGCAACAACTTTAAGTACGTGTCTCAGTTTCTGTGCCTTGGTGTTGTTGCTGTTTTGCTAGTTCGGCCTTGGATAAAAATGCATTGTTGTTGGCTTGTGGCTGTGTTGTTGTAGTTGTTGTTGCTGTAGAGCGTGCTGCTGGTGCTGCCTGCTGCTTTGTGGTAACATTTTTTGACAAGTGCGTGCCCGACTGCCAAACACATGTAGGTACATACATATATACGCATAAATACCTTTGTGTGTGTATACATATAATCATGAACATGTGGAGAGTACTTAAATATATGTATGTTTGTGTATGTTGGCATACGCGCTCCGGCTCCTAAAAACCTTGTATATTTAATCTTCATTAACGCAAAAACGTGAAATTGAAGCCACTTACATTAATGCAGCTTTGCGCATGTGTGTGATGTGTGCATGTGCATGCACACATCTGTGTTTGTTTGTATGCGTCATGTGTCATTATAACAGACAGCAGACAAAAGCATACAACATGTGCTGTTACCTACAACGTGTGTCGCATTTTCATCATTTTAACGCTTTTGTATTTGTCCATAGATGCATATGACTGTATATAGATATACATATGTAGAAAGTATATACAAATATATGCGTACATATACGCATATATATATCTATGCATTGGTATGTACTTGTTTAGCAAAGGCTTTGTGTTTGTTTATGCCAACACAGCAGGCGGGCTTCTAAACAATAAACACTTCAACAAGTTGGTTTTAAGAGGCACGCGTTTCCTGCGCGTTTAAAAGCGCGCGCAAGCTTTTATATATGTTTTGTTTGTTTATTCTTCGGTGGTTGTTATATATCCGCTATATGGTTGAAAAATAAAAGCTGACGTCTAACACTAAGGCAAATGCAACGAATGTGTGCTAAGTTTTATTAGATGTTGTAAAGCCATAAAAAATACTTCAAAATAATTGTTGAGTGAATACGAAACGAAATAAACCGCCCCCTTTAAAGCTCACTTAAACTTTTATGACCTACTGCAATGGCAGGTTTACCGCAACACCTCGCAGCTGCAATAAAACAAGGTCTAATTGTAAGGCAAAATAACAAAAAAATAAACGAGAACTGCAAGTCAGGCATTTTACATTAACCTTACAAAAGAGGTGTATAATATTTAACTGCAAGTACGGAAACATTCAATTTTACCAATTTCCAAGTTTTTGTTATTGTTATCTTTTGTCGTTTTTCTTTAATATCAATTGTTCCATCTGAATGATAAACCATTACCCATTTCCAAGACAATTTAATTAATTATATATACATACTTATAATCAACAAAAATAATTGTACAGAAGAAGGCAATTAAATGCGACCAGGTAGGCAATTAACTCAACAAATCGAGGTTGCAAAATAAATTGAATTGCACGGCACAAAAAACGCGACGAACTGAAAAGAAAGTCAATTTATTTGATTTAATTTATGAGTGCATGTACGAGTATGTATGTATTTGTGCGAGTGCATTGCGTTGCCGTTCAAAGTCACAGAAACGCATTTTTAAAATTAAACTTTGGCCAGAGCTTGCATATAAATATGTTGGCTAGTACTCGCACACAAAAGCGAAATGCAAAAAAAAATATTCTTGCTTGGGTCAGGCAAGAAAAAATTGTGAAAATGGCTGCAAAAAATTAACACTTGACCTGTAACTTCCGGCGAAATGCACAAAGTTTCCAGGCAGCTGCTGCAGCAACTATACACGCTCACACTCAGATACACATATAAAACAAAATATTGTAAATTTATGCACATAAAAGTAAAAGACTGCAAATGAAAAGGCAGCTTCAGCTCCAGCTCCATTCACAAGTCCAGTTTGTGACCAGCGTCGACGCGAATTGTGCGTGAACTGGGCGTGGAGCAAAAGTTATACCATATATTTTATTAAAACGCTCTCCGCTGCTCAACAAATACGCGCGAAATTATGATTTCAATGTAGGTCAGCAGGCACGGTCCACAGACGCTGTTGAAACTGCAGTCTCAGTCTCCGTCGCCGATAGCATTGGGCTGCCGCTGAAGTCCAAGTCTGCGGCAGATACTGCAGGTGAAATTATTCATTGCATACTTTTGGGCTGGCTCAAGAAACTTCCATACATCCAGCAAATCTTTGGGTATAGTTTAAGCCAAGTGTTATAAGGCGTACAAGTAGCACATCCATATGTAATTATACACATACGTACATACAAAGATCCTTGATGAAATTTTAACTACACGTACTGCACACACTCACATGCTTGCAATCATATCTTTAATATAGCATAATCCTTTTGTGGCATGTGCGTTGTGGCCGTAGAATTATGGCGTTAATACCACTGTGTCTGCTTATGAGCACACTCACACATACAGCCAACAGTTCGTGTGTGTGTGTACACTCTTGTTACTTAAGGAAGTTGACTTTTGGGATCATCATTAGAAAGGACTGAGTAAGTGTATGTGTATTTATATGTGTATGTGCCTGTGTTTCTGCCAACAAAGTGCTGCTGACTTCGTCGTCGCTGCAGCCTGTGGTCTCAGTTTCTTATGCTAAGCGCTTGACAACGCAAAGGCTTATATTCATACACACGAGATAGTCAGGGGTGTAGTATAACTTAAGAGAGTTGGCACAAGGTTGGATGAAAAAGAAAACCTTCAAACACATTTCAAAAAATCAAATCTTTCTTATAATTATAACTCTACGATCCATTTATTTATCAGATTTCATATTTTGAAATTGAATCTGCAGCTTCTCTCAATAAATTTCATTTCTTCGCAGCTGATAAAATTAAAAGACGGATCAAAGATGTCATTGAATTGTTTATTTTTGATACTTTTTAACTCTTTTATAATTAATCTTTTGACTGCAAATTAGTTTCTTCGCAAATATAATACTATACCAACATTATAAAATATATGCAACTATATATGCAATAAATTCAGAAAGTAAGAAACATTCTACATGTAATGAGTTCTTAAAAATAGTTGACCAAAGCGTTTTCATCTACTTCGTTCAGTGTTCAGGTACTTACAAATTGAACGAATATGGCGAATACTGAATCCCTTTTGCTTTGTCAGCCATCCGCCCCTGTCGTATGCACACATTTTTTTTTTTTTGAAAAAAATTGTATAATAATCTTGTCAAAACGCTCACCACCAGCTTGCTGCCGGGGTCTTTACATAAAAATTGTGGCGTAGCTCAGCGATGGCAAGAAATAATTAGAAAAATCTACAGTAGAAGAACCACAGAGACGATGCTATCGTCAAGTCGTCGTCGTCGTCGGAATCGCTACCGCATAGCAAGAACCAGTGGGAAAAATCGAAAACCACTGCAAACATTCACATGCCAGCAGCAGAAACAGCAACACAGCACCTTTATACATACGCAAACACTCGCACATATATATACTGGGTAATACATGTATACACAACCACTCTCATTCACTGCTACGGCAGCAAAATGGGAAAACGGAATTTGCAAAATGTCACGTATGACGCGCTGTGGAGTCGTTGCAAGTAAGACGGAAATTTACCACTAAATGTCGGTGGCACTCGGCACAGGTGGACGACCGGGCTGAGAAGGCAATGGTGACTGAGCTGGGTGGGGATTGCGAGCATGTTTCTTGTCCTCAATGATGTGTAAAAAGTAAAGCAGACAAGTTATAGCAAATTACGAGCTAAGGGTTTCCGCATGCGAAGAAAAGTACAGTAAAATGCAAGAAATTGCATTGTACATGAAAAATGCGAAAATCTAAACTGCAAATGAGTGCATTAAAATGCGAAAGCAAATGCTCGACAAAAGCAATGAAAGCTTTAATACCAAAAGGGTTACTAGAAGCGTACGGAAATGTTGTTCTTTTTCCCAATAGATTTAAGCGACAACTTTATAGTATAACTGGCATACAAACAGTATATAATTAATTTAAAAAAATCATATCAAGACAAATTTGAATATTATGCTTCGCAAAGTCAAATGCTTTATTGAATTCGGTGCAGAAGATATCAGATTACATCCTGATCATCACTTAGTTAGGAGGTAAATTGTACGAAGTTTGATTTATTGACTTTGATTTATATTCCTCGTTATATTTATATCGTTTAAATTGCTGCTGCCCGCCATTTAAAAGATGCTTTGGCATCCTGATTATTTAGTTTTTTTTTTTGTGCAACAATCTGCTTTTTTAACTTTGTGATTTGTTGCTTAATTATATGAAAAAAATTTGTTCTTCAAGTAACAATGACAAAGTCTATTCAGATCGAATTATGGTATAACTCAGAAAATAATATTATGCATATTTATGTATGTTAGCCTTTACGGCGCCTTTTATTCCAATGCACATACGATTTATCATTTTCTACTACTTTTTTCTACACAACAAATATGTTTTCTAGATACCTACAGACTTTTCTTTCACCTTTCAAACATGTATGTTGTCATTCCATTGTATGTTGAAATTTTAAACCAAAAATAAGTTTTGGCCTCAAAAAGTGGAAAAACAACGAAATCTTCAAATGTATAAATTAGTTGGAAATTCAGTCCAGACCCGAACAGCTCCACCTCAAATTTCACCTCAAGCACTTGCGCTCTGTGGCAACGGTTTAATTTTCAATGGACAAGTCTATCCGGTACTAGTCGATGGTGTTCCAGTACCAGAAGCTGTTGCAGCATTGAAACGCCAACAGCAACAACAACATTTCAATCAGCCCCAACCAAGCGGCAAGATAGTGAGGACCCAGCAATTTCGGCGCAAGCACACCAATCCATCCAGACCACATCAACAGCAACTGCACTCGCAGCAACAGCAGCAACTACAACAGCTCCAGCTACTCCAGCAACAACAAATAATGCAGCAACAGAACTTATATCCGAATATGCAACAACCATACAGCAATTGGTCAGAACCCATCCACAACAGGTCCACAGTCACAGGTGGAATGCTGTTGAACCCGCAGCCATCAACGCCTGCGCAACAGCATTTCAGCTATGGCTTTGTGCCCAACCAAGGCGAGTCCAATGCGTGGCAGGGCTACGCCATGTTCCCCAACGATGTGAGTAAGCCGTTTGCCTTTGGGTGGAGTTCCACTGACTAACAATAAAGTTACCAGACCCCCACATAAGGGTTAAGGCATTTCTAATATTTGTTAAAGCTGCTGCAAAATAAATGGCAAAGATTGGGTTCGAATGAGATGACAACAAATATTATCTAATTTCCTTTCTGCGAAACTCTCTTCAGAAGACAAGAAGAGCAGTCGTGACATTTACTGAGCTTAGGGATATTTTCCTGTGATTAGTTAAAACTCGGCTTAAAAAATTCTATCACGAAAATGGGCATTTGTACCGACATTTAGGTTTAGGTCTGATGTCGCCTGGAAACTCTTCATATATTTCATTTATTTCCAACCGTGGCATTTATGCATAGCCATACGATAGACAAAGTTCGTAGGAGAAAACACCAAATTCATTCATCACATATGACCCGACAAAAAGAGGAGAGAGTATCAAAATGCCAATGCAAGTCGAGCTATTGATTGCAGAGTTCAAGTAACCGCAAAGTCTTAAGCACATGCATATTTATAAACTAATTAGTTTCTTCCCATTTAACGTGCAGCTGCGTCTCAAGAATGGCATTGTTATGATGCAACTGTGTATTTAGGCAGCAGTTGACTTATCAGCACGTGCAGCTTTCAAAGGTTCTATTGAGTAAAGGAGCTGGCTCTGATTATAGATAAGTTAGACACACACTTCAGCATTTTATTTAATTAATATGCAACCTGTGAATATACGATGCAAGAGGTGCGATGTGCTTTCCAAGGCCTACTACTACAATTGTTTGCCAAAGGTTGAATAAACTTGTTAGGGCGTTCAATTAAAATTCAAAAAGGATGCCTGTATTTTTGACTCGTTAAAAGCAATTCTGTTCAAAATTTAACAAACATTATTTTTGGCAGTCATAGACCAAAATTCACTTCCGACACAAGCATATTATCACACCCAAATAACACATAGCCAACAACTTTCTGTAACAATATGTTCAATGACGAGAAGAACTGTGAACCTTTCGATCCCTTTAATGTCGGTCCGCCCAACTTCGGCCAGCGCGTTGATTTTAAACTACCCTGCTATCCGACATATCCCCCGCCAGTGCTTTCCAATATCCCGCCAGCCAAGAAACCCAGCAACTCTGTTGGTTTTCAAGACTTGCAGCCCAAGCCGAGCGGAGCAACAACAAGTTCTGTCAAAATGGCCCGATCCCAAATGGGCGAAGTGGCCATTTCAAAGGCCATTAACGAGGAAATGGCCGCTACCAAACAGCAGGCAGTTGACAAACGACGCATCGATGCGGGTGGCATATCACAGACGGAATTGCCGCATAACAATTTGAATGCAGCCTCACATGCATCTATCAGGACTCTGCTGCCTATTAACAGAGGAAACAACAATGCGGCACCATCGCAGACAAGCGTCCGTTCTACAATAAGCACGGCCAGTGGCAAAAGTACTTCGGAGGTGAACAGGGAAAAGGCTGCCAAGCAGGTAGTTCCATCTAGGACTAGTATGGCAAATGCTATCACCCCATCAAAGAAGAGCCTTTCTGCTGCCCCATCCAAGAAGAGTTTGTTAAACGACTCCGCAGTTGTTAATTTATCAAAAAAAAGTATAGCTCAAGCTTCTGAAGGGGCAGAGCCATCCAAAAGAAATCTAATGAACGAATCGAAATCGAAGACCAGTGCATTAAAGGAATCCAATACGACGAGTCCTTCGGAGGCCAGCATGCAGTCGCAGGTGAGATCAGTAGCAAAATTGAAAGCATTAGTGAAATCGTTTGAAAAGATTGAAGGCAAGGTAGAATTTCAGACTCCAACGCAAGCAGTCGATGTCAGAAATTCCAACACAAGTTCCACGTCACAACAGGAAGTGAACCACAGGGCTAGACCAACAGGAAACAGTGCTATTAAAAAAGTTCAGCAGCAATTCGAGACAGACTCCCCAAATTCTGAGATAAAGTCACTTAACGAACAGGTTTCAGCGTTGACTGACCGGCTCAAAGCCGGTAATGAGAGACAATTCAGACGCTACCATGTTATTCCTGAGCCCTGCACGAATAGGGAGCCCGAGAAGCTATCTCGCGGTGATCGCATGTCCTACTTGTATGACGATGCAGTTCTCTTTTAGAATAAAGCGTACCAAACCGAAAATATACATTAAATAACGAAATTAAACTACAGAAAAAATCACAAAGAAGTATTAATAGTATTTTATTTATTTATTTATAAGCCAGTCTTAATTATAATCAGTAAAAAAATAAAGGAGGGAAGAAACAGTTAACTATACAATAAAGGGGAATTATTCTTCTGTGTTATTTAACTCCAATCTACCTATTTGGCATCAGTATGAAAACAGAAAGGAATAATATTTTAAATTGATTTAAATGAAGGCATTGGTTGTAAGTATAAGAAAATTTTAACCTTTTTCCCCGCTTGGTGGAGGAATATTCTAAACAAAGTGTTAAGTATTCATCGCAGCGCCATATATCATGGATTTATTTAATCCATCTTTATTTTAAGAATGTTAATAAAAAGCCAATAAAAAATCTGTAAAAAATTGGTTTTAAAAAGAAAAAGAGTTCTGATCAAATAAAATGCACCGTTGCCCAAGTATAATCATCACTTGAACGTCAAATTTAATGATTGCTTATACTATATTAAAGCATACGTAATTCTCTAAGTTGGACTTACCTTGTTTTAACTACGTTAAGACGTGATCAAGTTTATTTTTTTGTATTGTCCATTCTTCTGCTCCTTAGCTAATAAACATGGCCAGCACGTGATAGTTATTATATGAGTTTTAGCTAAAATTAAAGTTGGCAAAAGTTGTGCGACAAACTTTTGTCAAAACAATGGCAGGCACAGAGGAAGACTAATAGAGGGGTACAAGGACTGAAACAAGAGAAATACAGAGAGAGAGAGAGAGAGGGAGAGAGAGAGAAAGAGAGAGAGAGAGAGATAGTGACCGAGAGAGAAAACAACAACATGATTTGTGGTCATGCGTTTTGCTGACATTTTGTGTCGTTAATTCGAAATGCGCTAAAAATTTGCGGTCTGTCGCACCAAATGCGACGCACTGGCTCATAAAATATGCATAACATTTGTTTATTTTGCATTTAAAAAATAAATGTATATATATAAAAAAGGCAAAAAGCAGGGAAATATGCAAACATTCGAGGGTATTCATGTTGTTGTTTGGAGCATTGCGGTTAATTTTATTTATAGCCTGGCAAAATGCTAATTGCAATGGCGAACACTAACTGTGGCAGCAACAAAAACATTAGGCGAGCTGCTGCTAATCATCGACTTGTACCGCGGGGCATTTATTAAAGTACGGCAGGATATGTGAACATTTAATTGCACGTCAATTTGTTTAGACAGCGCCTACAAGTAGGCCACAATAAATGGCCAAACTGAAATGGCGCCCACATAATATGCGCATGAATAAATATGTAGGTAGGCCTGAATTAATGCACATGAATGTACATATATATGTATATAAATGCAATGACACTGTTGTGCTTCCTATAAAAGAAACAACTGTAATAATAGCCTGGGCGCATAAAGTACCATAAAATACCAACAATAACAACAAAAACAACCTCAATCTGCTTTGGCATGCCAACAAACAACTTTGCTAAAGTGCAAACACCAGCAACAACAACCACAGCGACAACAAAATGAAACAACGTAGCACGGCGCGCGACCAGAAACAGAGAAAAATATATTTAATACGAAAAGTTTTGCAATAACGGAAATGAAATGGAAATGGACGTGCGCCAATAGACATAAATGTGTGCGAACGTAAGCCGCCGATGCCGTCAAGCAGCCGCCGCAGCCGCCAGGATGCAAATAGGACACGCCAGCAAAGAGCCCATTGAGTAAACAAACAACCGCACCGCAGCAGAGATGCACATCGTGTAAAACAAAAGAGCTGGCCATACAATGCAACAAAACAAAAATAACAGCAACAGTAACCAAAATGTGGCAAACTCTAAAGTAAAAACTAACAGCAATATCCGGCAAAAGCAATTGTGCAAAGTAAAAGTGGCAGCGCGCCTATATTGCTGCCGTAAAATATTAACACAAGCAATATGAACAAAAATAGCACGGTTGAAAATATGAACAGGAAAAACAAGTGCGCATTTCTTTATGGCAGCATTCAGAACGAACGCAAGCAGGAGTTGAGTGTGGCCAACTCTTAAAGACCCATAACTAACTTCCTTAAAGATGCAATGTTTTTCTTTAAATACTTTTAAAATCAAACTAATCTGGATTTAGGGGATTTAAGGATGTCCAACAGAGTTAGTTTATTCTAGCTCCTTTAATTCATAAAGATCAATTAGTCCTGTCATCCTGATCGTGTATGTACTTTGTGGGGTCTGCCATACAACCTTCTAAATATATTAAGAGCTACACAAGTCAAAATTGGAAATGTTTTTGGTGCTGAGGAAGTTGCGAAAGCTTGAGATAATACCATATGATATCATGGACTCTATCTGCTTTTGTTCGTTTTAATTTGAGAAATGCCAGCTTGAGGTTGTCCAACCAAATTTAAGCTTAATCTTTTATATAGTAAACAATTCAACAAAAATGCCACCGGTAAAAAAAAAACCAATAAAACTTGTGGGGTGCAATTTGTTGGGAACACATTTGCAGCAATAGAGAACGGATATATCTGCGGTGTTTTTATACCCTGTACCCAAAGGGTATTTAAGAGTTGAGTCTGCTCGACTTTAGCATTTCTTTCTCTTTCTTTTTATTTTGCTGAAGAGTGGCTTTTTAATTGCAAGCAGAAACTGCATTATTTTATTCGACAATAGTGTAAAATCTGCAGAGAACATACGCTTACATTCATACACAGAATTGAATACTTAGATAGTTGTCTATTATCGATTTGCATTACATGATTACCGTTCACGTTTATAGAAATATTTCTTAGCATTGTGCAGCTTTTGCTTTAGAAACCTTAACTATTTTGAATAAAAGAGAATAACATTTATTATACATAGTAACACATTCCTCCATTTTTGTATCGAAATATATTAAGCTGAATTGATTGTTATTCGAACAAAATGTGACTTAAAAATACTTAAGGAAACTTGAGTCTAAATTTACTTATCATTTACAAAAACCAACACATTTTGATAAGCTGGTCACCTGAAGTGCTTGGCCAACAGAAAGAGACAAATGCGCTAATTAATTGCTGCAGATGAGTTAGGGCGCGGTCTAGCCTGCCTCCCATGATCATGTTATGTACAATTAGGGCTGTCGCACTGCAGAAGACAAACACAAACACACACACACAAATGCAGACAAGCAGACAACCTTAGGAAATTTACTACACTTAGTTCTCGGTGTGAGCAACACAGTGCGTATGCGTAATAAAATTGAATTAACCCTAGACCAAGTGGCCATTTTGTGGCATATTTTTGGCCCGCAGGCCAAGTAAATAATATTGAAGTGTGTGTATGTGTGTGCATTTATGTGTGCATCCACGTTTATTGCTCATAAATGAAATCATAAATTCCGCTCAGGCTCTTCACACAAACTGCCCGAAGGCATTGTCAAGTTGTCAGTTGATTTACTTTTGTAATTATTGTCTATACATGGCTACAATTTGAGTTTGAGGCCAATTTATTACGAGTATTGACTTGATTTGATTTGCATGCGTGCAGGCAATGAAAAGCACAAATATTGATAATAGCTTGTTTTGCGGCAAGTGGCGTCATAATAAGTAACTAAATTTATGACACAATTGTGTGTTAATGTACAAGTATATATACGTAAAGGGTATACAGTTAGGCATACAAAATGTACATATATATGAGAGCTGAATGCCATTGAGCTTGCACACCTACAAGCAGTTGGTAAACAATAGTTTCCTAATGGGTTTAATTGAGCTGGCCATAAAGAAGTAATTGCCAAATATTCTAAACAAATCGATTGTTTTAGTTACGTAAATGAAACAGCCAGCAGACAATCAATGCCTAAAGTACTTCACTTAATTATAACCCAGAGCCGAAGGATACAACGTATGATGAACCGTTTCATATGTAATACGCAGAAGGAGACGTGCCAGAGCCAACAAAGTATATACTATATGTCGAGATAATGTAGACATGTTCGTTTGACTGTCCATCTGCCCGTTCAGGAGACCAAAAAATTAAAATCACCAAACTTCGTACGCATGTTTTTTTTTTGCTTTTTTAATGCACCGATCATTCTTTTTTGGGAATTTTTATTTTTAAATTAAGTTCCCAAGTGCCCGATTGCCAAGTTTCCTATTAATATCACAATTACAATGATAATTAACAGTTTAGAAAAGCATTAGTACGTAGAATTATCTATTATTATATTATATGAAAATTTAGTTTAGTTTAAATTAAACTTAAACACATAAATTTTGAATACTATACAAAAACAACTTGTTACTGTAATTAAATTTCCTTGTAATGGATAAATAAAAATTATGTTTCAAAAAATGGATTTTTTATGTAATTAGGAGAGGAACAGGCAAACTGATCCAATTTTAGTAACCCTAATATGCTCTGAGTATATCTGAAATTTTTATCTATGCGAACGGTTCTCAACAGATGCTGAGTTTATTGAAGCTAAAAGAATGTACAAAACTAGTCTCTACCCACTGCGTTCGGCAACGAAATATTACCAGTTCAAGAAGATAAGATTTATCTGAAATTATAAGCCTTTATTTATATTTAATTGAAATTTTCTCTCTTATTTAAAATATTGCTGATACATGTGCAAAAATTTGTAGACCGATTTGTTAACAAAATTGTCATGAAGTTCATTATTCAAATTACAAATTATGCGCAAATACTTAACTGATTGCGGCGCAGTCCCGCGATGCACGGGAATTTGCATATTTTATATTCAAATTAATTTTATTGAATTTTGTGTAAAATTCCCAAGAATGCAGCTGGAATTTTGTGCATATTCGTTATATTTTTTTATGTTTTTCAATTAAGTATAAAAGCACTTGATTAACAAATTCAATTTGCGTGCATTGCATATGTAAAACACATATACGACTTTATGACACCATATATACTACATACTACATGTATATATGTATGTAGTATGTATATGTATATACATTTGTAGCTTGCATGCAAACGTTCGCATCGTCGAAAACAGTCGTTCTATTTTTCTGACAATCCAGAAACTTGCATAATTATC